GTTCAGTTATTTTAATTCCTTTTTTCCCCAGGTTGTTTTGTATTTAAGATAAGCTTTGTATTTAAGCTAAGGTTTTGTACTTTGTCTAATTTATATTCTTTTTGCATGTGGTCTGTTAAAGACTTAATTCATCGTTAAGCTGTTGTGCAATTATCTTTGCTTCTTACCAGGTGAATAGCTAGTAAACAGTAACACGTAAATGTGTGGCCCGTAGTTAGTTTACTGGGTAGATTTCTGAGTTACTACTGTGTTTAGGTCGTTACACAGTGTCTGGGTGTGGGGAGGGAGGTTTTCCAGTTTGTAAAGCTATTAATTTCCAAGGAAAAATGGCATGTTTTCCATTCTAGACTATTTGTTGTCCACTATAATATAATAAATTGTGGTTCGGGCATCACATTGGCATTCTTAATGGTTAAGCCATTCTCTGAAACGGTCTGTTAGACCACCTACAGTGTCGGTGCAGCTGCCGGGAGGATTTGGGAAGCGTTAGCCCTCTAAGTGTTAGTCACTGTTACACATGCATTTTAAAACCTTTGAAACCAAACTTTTAATGACTGTATCTAAGCTCCTTTTATTACGAAGTTTCTCACTGTAAGCAGTAAATTGTAGACAACTGAAAATTTTATTCTACCTTTTTACTATGTTGTACATTTTTATTTTGGCAAATCCTTTGTTTTTTTACCTTCTAAAACATCTTCCTTTAGGTTGTAATTAATAGTACGTGTGTTATCCTTTTTACATTCTTAGTTATTTTGTGCCATATACACTGATGCTTCCGCAAACTCACAGCTAATGCATCACCAGAAAATAAAAATAGGTCAAAAAACTATTAAGCAACTGAGTATGTTTACTCAAAGCATTGATCAATCCAGTGCATTAAGTATATTTTGAAAGCTACTTGTCTTCTTTTACAATAATAAATCAGTTAATGAATGAACTGTAAAGTAAAAGAGAAAGCTTATAAACTCCAAACATCATTCAGGTTTAAATATTAAGTTCCATATTAATTCCCTTCCAACCATCAATGTAAGGTTCGTGTAAGTTAAGCTGAGTACAAGGTTTTTACCACGTCCCTGGCTGTAAATAGAGAAAATCTGTGTGTTGGAGTTCTCTCCGCTTTTTTCATGGGTTTAGCAAACGGTATTGAATGGAATTTCATCCTTTTAAAGATGCGCATCGTAGCGCATGCTGGGCGCAAATCTCTAATCCCCTTTTTTTAATTCGTTGGTTGCAAAGGCTGTAAGGCTGGATGCTGAGCCCCCTCAGCTCCCGCAGAAGGTGGGAGTTGAGAGCTGCAGGTGTGGAGGGCGGTGGGAAGTACGCAACCCGACGCGCGTTGCGGCTGGTAGGTGGAGCGGCCGGCAGCGTGCGAATGTTAATAAAAATCAGTAGCTGTCATCGTGTAAAGTACTGCTTGTGATTTGGGCTTTGGGCAGGGAGCCTGCGGGCTGGGGTGAAGCCTGTCCTGTAAGGCCATCAAATAACGCCCGAGTGGTGAGCTCCCGTGCTCGAGTCCTGGGTGGTTTGGCCGAAGAAAAATGCCCGGCAAATAGTTAAGTTTAGGGTGACTCCTCTGCTGATTTGGCGCTGACCTGCCTTGCCTGGATGAATCGTGCGTAGCACCAAGGTAGTAAACAGTCACAGGGAACGTATATCAGAGAACTCTGTTTCGTCTGGTACTTATATTTACCATTTTCATGGTCCCACTATTTTAAAATTATGTTTCGCTACGTTTGTCTTCCCTGCGAAGCTCAGCTGATTGGGATGTTTTAGTTTTGTTTTATCCGCAGTTAGGTTCTTGCTTTGCACACAAAACTGAGGACTCCCTTCTTGATTCCTGCGATCTGTTTAATTGATGGCTCATGCCCTATTTATAACATCGTAAGTTCAACTTTTATCTTTTATTTCTTATTCTGTCTTTTTTTGGTCTATCCAATTCTCTAAAATCTTACGTAAACAATCTAAAGGAAGTGTCAGCTGTAGGAAATATTGCAGTGAATGTTATTCTCTAAATCATGCAAGGTTATGCATTCAGAAAGTTAACTATTCATTATTACAGTGTAATTTTAGGAGATGCATGGTTTACCTTTATAAATTTTTTTAACAATTAAATGAATTTAGAAAAACACTCACGGCATTTTCTGAAAAAATTTGTTTAAAAGACTACCGATACGCTTACGAAAACATTTTATTGTAACATGGATTAATTACACAGAATTTGGAGATTAAAATTTTCTTTAGGATCACGTTGCATGATATTCCGACACTTCGTTCATGGTAAGTTCAGCACACCCAACCTGATCTCTGCAGCTCTTGGCTGGAAACAAAGGCCACTAAAACTCTACCTCTTCCATCATTGAGCTGTCTACCCTTTGCTTACAAAGACCGAGCTGTTCCTTTATAATTACCAGCAAAGCAAAATAGGTGTTTCGGCTAAAAGGCGGCTTTAGCTCTGCCTTTTATGGGTCCTGTGTATAATTGTCTCTCTTTGTCTTCAAGCCCCTTTTACATCTTCAAAGCATAGTCTGTTGAGCAGTGATATCCCTGTGTGATTTTACTGTTGTGCAGACAGTAAGGTGAGGGATTACCTTCGTAATCCTTAGCATTGGTGCCAAATGCACGGCAAAAACACCTAAATATACTAAAAGTGTCAAGCGGAGATACAGCTGGGCTCTGAAAGAACAGATTCCTCGGAACATGGGTACAAAGGTGTTTGAAAATACGCATTTTAGAATTGGCCCCTCCCGAGCATGCTTTTTAGAGGGAATTACAAATAGGAATGAGGTGAAATGTTTTCCATCTTTTCTCCTGCTGTCTAAGCATGAATGTGGAAAAACCTGGAGAGATAACGGGTTTTCTGCTGGATGTCTGCTGAGTCAGAGAACCTCTTGACTTCAGTGGCACCCCACAGTAGGGAAGTTCTTGAAGAACCGCGAACGTTGAGGAGGAGTGATTTGGAGCTGAGCGTTAGGGTTCATCTTGTAACTCCTAGCCCTAACACACTGTTCAACTTCTTTGATGTAAGGAAGAAAAGTTTTTTAATTCTTTTGCTCTTAATGGGTTAGGAGAATTCATTCTATATTGGTTTAAAAGTCAGAACTAAAGCCGTTACGTGAGTGAAGAAACAAATACTGCTTGATTTTTAAAATACATCCTTGAGAATTTTGTTTTTGCGATAATCCAAGGTTCAGTCAAAGTCCGGTTTTCTTAGACGGCGTTGGGGCGGGGGGAAGATGTTGAATGTTGCTATTTTATATAAAAAGTCACACGGCAGATGCGCAGTAGGTAGTTTTTCTGCAAGCTTCTCAAAGATTCATGTCAAGTTTTAATTTTCGCAGCAGTTTTCTGCCCTTTGCAGTTCGAACAAGACCTTCGGGTTGCCGAGGAGTGCTGAGGAGCCAGCCGGTGTGGTTCTCGGGGGCAAATGCCTCTTGCACTACATTTCTCTGCCCTTACCCCTCTGAAACAGCTTCTCCATCTTGAACAATGTAAATACTTGGTTTTAACGGAATATTTTTATTACGATTGTTGTCCACATGAATTATTAAATTAGTCTTATCTTCCGCTGCTTGATTTCATTCGTCTGCTATCGCTGCAGAGTTGAAAAGGACTACTTCAGAAATTCAGTCCAAAAAAGGTGCAGCAGGTGTCTTAAGACTGAGTAATCACTCAGTCAAATTTGCTGTATTTAAGTATAGAAATAATTGCTGTATATAGGCCATGAGCTTTATGCAAATATAGCGACTCGTTATCTAACACAGACTAAAGGCATGAGCGGGTTTTGGTATTATTTCTGTAGAGTAGCAACTCAAAAAGATGGTGTAAAGTGAGAAAAACCTGTTTAAAGCATTACGACTGTATTTCGCGTGTTATTTTTACATTGAATTGAACAGTGGATCTGGACTCTTTCAAATCAGTGTGATTTACAACTGGGCCGCTGTTTTGGGTTTTTTTAAAGCAGGTTCTCACGGGCTCTCAATGCTTGGCTCCCGAAGGGTTGTGTAGTTGCGTAGGCTTGGCTGATACGTAGCTAAGAGGAACAAGTGTTTTCGCCGCAAGTACTGGTAGCCGGTCTCGGTGAGAAGTACCGTGCTTGTGGCTTACCTCGGCCAGTGCGGTGCCGATTTCACAGCCGTACAGATGAGGTAGGAGCTGGACAAAAAATGGGGGACATCATGTGTCGCTCGGAGCTGGCACTGTCGTGCCCTCCGGTCCTTGCTTATTCTTCCCCGGATCAGTGCGCACCGTGGAGTACGGCCGCGGTCACATTTTTCTGTGAAATGAAAACTTGGCTCAGTTGAGGTCATGTAATGCAGATTGGAAAAGCAGATTAAAATAATAGTTCAGATTCAGTTGGATATAATATATCATTATTTTATACTACCTCAGGACATAGTCAGGGCGTGTGTTTTACTCTAGTTCTATACTAGGGGACAGTTTTGTGAATTTTGGAAGGCTGTTGATCTCGGAATCAGAAGAATTTGCTGCTTATTTAAATGTATTTTTATTTTTAACCGTGGTATTAGTTGTTCAATTGGTTGAGAAAAACTTGTTTATGAATTACTACATAACTCGCATTCCTTCATGGAGGATTTCCTTTCTAATACACTTACCTCTCTATAGCATTTAATTTCCATTAGGATTTTAAAAAGACAAACCTTTTTTTAAAATTCAAACCTTTTTTCGGTATCTCTTCATATTTATATTTGTCACTGGGATTTAATCTTTAAGCTTATAAACCAATCGATCGTCATTGTTCTATCAACAAGCTAAACAAATGGAAAAGGAATACTTATTCTGATAATTTTTTGTTTGTAAGGTGAATTTATTATTTTTTTCATTGTAAAATTACACAGACTAGATGGCAGTACCTTCCATATCCCAGTGCTCGAGCTCCACCGTTGAAGTTAATGCAAAATAAAGTTTAGACAAAGAAAAGCAAACACACAGTTGGATGTAATTTAAACCACATTTTGAAGACTGTGTTGGCTAAGCGAGTGTGGACTATATTCCAGTATTGTTTTCAATAATAGCGTTACCGTGGAAATGAATGCATATGCATGTCCAGGAACCCTCCACGCACTGATGTACAGCTACGGTATGCTGAGAGCGCTGTAAGGGTGTTAGCTTACTTCTGTAACGTCGTCTTCACCCACTTCCTCCAGGTGTTTTCGTCATATCCTAGTGTTGCGTCCCTTTTCTCTCTCCGCCTCCTCTCCCACCACCCCAAAAATACCATTATTTGTTCCTTCTGCCCATTAGTCATGCGGATATTACGTTGAATATTTTGTTGAGGAGCTGGCGATGACAGCATTGATTCAAATTTAGGGAGACCAGATAGCAGGAGGATGAAACAAAGTCTAGCTTAAATAATTGCTGAACGTAATTGAGTTTTAAACATCCACAGAAACAAACAACTTTCCGTAGCTGTTGTGACGAAACCACTGGTCGGGGCCTCCGCATGCAGTTCCCAGTGCTGCAAAAATCTGTTTGCTTGTGGGTAGGAGCCATTCTTTCCAATCATTGTTCGATCTGGATTATAAAACGCCAGGGTAGGACAGATTATATTCCTGTTTGTGCAGACGCCTAGCAGAGTAAGGCTATGGTGTGGAGTGCGTCTGTAGCTGTTCGCAGAATTCTACCGCACAAAAATGATATTGGGTGTATTCGCTGTAATTCGTTCCGGGAGGGGTCCAGAAGTCCATTATCAGTGAGAGAATGGTTTTGTATTTGGAATCTTAGGCTGAATGCTGAGGTATATCACAGAATCACAGAATCACTAAGGTTGGAAAGGACCTTCAGGATCATCAAGTCCAACCATTAACCCAACACCACCATGTCCCCTAAACCATGTCCTGAAGCGCCACATCCACACGTTTCTTGAACACTTCCAGAGACGGCGACTCCACCACCTCCCTGGGCAGCCTGTGCCAATGCCTGACCACCCTCTCGGTGAAGAAATTTTTCCTAATATCCAATCTAAACCTCCCCACACTCTGGAGTGTTCTTAATTCGGCAAGCTCGTCAGTGATACAAGTGCATCAAAAACCCCGTGTTCGATGATAATCTCCAAAAGGGGACTCCTGCGGTGCGCAGGAGCAGGTTTTAACGGGTTTTGTAGAGCGTGTTCTCCTTCGTGCTTTGCGGCGTTACCTTTATTTTAACACAGAGAAGCGTCATCTTTGAAAAACTTTGGCGACTGGAATGCTGACTCGGTGAGAATGAGGACTGGAAAACCATTGCTACCTAGCTTGAAATAGCAGCTTCTCACATTCATTTTCTCAGTCTGTTTTTCTATCACTTTTTATCTGAGATAATGATTATCATAATGTGGCATCTGCAGGCCAGGCCAGGGCAGTAGCAATTTAATATTTTGGTTAGCAGCTAGTTTGGTTTTGCCTTATCTAGGAAATACTCAACATGCTGGTAACTCTGCATTTCAAAAAACACTAATAGGATTTATATACCTATATAGGATTTATATATATAAAAAAAATATATATATATTTTG